TGTGTGTGTGTGTGTGGCAGAGGATTAAAGCCAGCTGTCATGTTCGTGTGTTTTGTCGAAGATTTCTTGTTGCAGTTTCTCCAGAAATGCTGTTTGCTGGCTTAATAAATCTGGTAGTCTCTAACTAAAGCTCTCCCCACCCACAACAAAGTAAGTGTGAAGTCAGCATTCTCTGTTTCGACACCTGCCAAGAGTTTCAGATATTTTAGGGCCAAAAAAACGGAGTAGAAGTGCTTTTACTCAGCCTGCATCCATTTATTCTAAAACAAGAAGTAATTAACTGAACTAGGAGTTGTTTTTAGGCGATGTGACGATATATGTATATAATCCCTTTAAGATATTTAGGTGTATTAGGCCATTGTGGCCAATGTTAGATATAAATAATGACTGTTTTATAGCAAATTGGGATTTTTATATGGTTTTGCATCAATTTGATGATCCTCTTTGATGGTATTTACTCTGCTGAATTAACCAACATACATTTCTATTGGGTTATTAAATCCATTAATCCATTAAATGGATATTGTAAATCTAAAATGTAATATATTGCCCACTGTAGGTTGACCTGGTTTGAGAGTGTGTTGGTGTATAAAAATACTCAAAATACTTGGAAAACCTGTGATTTAAATACCAGATGAGATATTCTTTGTTGGTGGTTTACCGGTGTTAATACCTGAACTCCTACGCAGCACCGACTACTGATTACTGAAACCCATCTAAGATGCTGCTGCAGGCAGTGAATGAGACCACATATGTCTGTGGGTTGAGTTCAAGGTCTAACTGTTTGAGTTCAGACAACCAGTGCTCTAGGAAGTTCTAGAAAAAGTGCTATTAGTTTGCTTTAAATAGAGACACATTGCAGAGGAGCATCTTGTACACTTAGCTGGACGATTGGGTAATTGGATTGTCTGGCTTTAGCTCTGGTCACAATGAAATAACAAGGACACGTGTCCATGGATGACTCCTGATAGGCCAGGAGGCAGGTCCAGCCCACAGGATGTTTTCTTCTACCTTTCTTTCACTATTATTTCACCTGTACATGGTTGATAACGAGCACCCCCAACTTAGGCACTTTTTCTGGCGAAATTATCTAAATGTAAATAAAAACGGTACAATTGCATTAACAGTCATACAAGTATGAAAATTGGCAGGCAGGGCCCTGAAAGAGAGGGAAAAGAAGTTCTCATCAGAAATTATTATTTTCTAAAACTTTATGGTGAATATCACCACCTCACTTTCATATAGAAAACTTCCCATATTCATAAGCTTCAAGATTAACTTTCTATCTTGAAAATGAATCTTGCTGTGGCCAAAGTCATTCAATATAATATAAGTCAGAGAAAATAGTATTTCCACACACTAGCCTTCCAAATGGGGGTAAGCATATTTCTTACATCTAACAATATGTGCATGTAATGTCCAAACCAATACACTCAAGTTACAGTACAATACAGATTAGCATTGATTGATCATATTATCAAGTGTCAAAAGTTATGAATATTGCAAATCAATGTGCACTTAAGTACTTGTTATTGAATAATAGATTTAGATAAACACTACTAAATACAATAAACGGGATAAACAGCAAAAGAAAAAGCCAAAAACAGGGAACACACCTTTTAAAATTAACAATTTTTTCCATTATTGACATACCTAAATACGTTTTTAACAGCATAACTGTAACCAGAATGCATGTATGAGGACTCATTTGAGAGGCAACATGCTCTAGTGTGTAAAAATATGTTGATTTAGTGGGGCTAAAACACAACCCACACTACGTCAGCTTCAACATAACCTACTGGCTTATTGGTCTGTGTGTATCTAGATATATAATGTATATCGCAGCATAGCCTCAACATTATATTATTATAAATATTATTTCTAATCAAACAAGGCCTTCTTGATTTTCAGGGGTGTATGAAAAATGTAAAAATATACTCAGTAAGCATATATATCTTTTTTTCATTTCTGTGAAGAAAACTAAAATGAAATTGTTATTTTTAAAACTTGGATTATTATTTAAGATATAAAGTCTGAAGAAATGAACACAAGCTATATTCACAGAGCCTTGGACAGCCTCGTCTTGCTTTAGAAAAGTACGCAGTTAAAACAACTTAAGAACTAATAGAACAATGAGAAGATAACACTGAATTTGTCAAATACATTATTGAGAAAAAAATACAAAGAATTAAAAATATCAGTAAAACTCATCCCTGATGCAATATTAATGGCATTGTTAAATAGACTGACTTCAAGCCTTCCTGTTGTGAACTAGATCATTCTCATCTGTCTCCCCTTCAGTTAAGACATCGACAAGGTGGTCGTTGGCACTTCGATTTTTCAGAGAGGACATGAAGCCTGTGGTCAAGAGAGTATGTGTTCTTGAGCTCTTTTTCAGATGCATACTTTGAAGTTGAATCTCTTAAGGTCTCTTGAGGTTGAAAGATCAATGGAGAGACCTGGTTGAAGCTTGAGGCATCGAGACGCAAATCTTCTTGCCCTTAATCTCTCTCACCTCATCAATTTGTTTTACTCGAGGACCGAAGCCATAGATGGCGACAGCTGAACTCACAAGCTCATCAAATGCAGCAAAGATTGCATGAACTTTGAATCCTGATCCTTGATCTGTCACACATCGTGTTGGCCTCACATGCCTTTACCTGTGCCGACTAAAGTTGAGCATTTAAAGTAGATATATCAAATATATTCATATATTGGAATGTCAATAATGTTGTTATGAGCCGTTTTTTATCAACATTGTGTTTCTACAGTAACCCAGAACAGACAAACCAAACACTGGCTGCAGATTTCATACTGTAGGTTCTTCTATGCAAAAGGTGGGGTGTCGTGAGGGGTATTCAGTTGATTGCAATCTGCAGCTTCACCACTAGATGCTACTAAATCCTACACGCTGGACCTTTAAGACCTCCTAATACCTGACTAGCTGTTCTGCAGGCTAAACTTTACTAAGGTAGAAGTATGTAAGTATTATAACAATATGTATTTAAAGGAGTCATAGTGCAGTAAAATGTTCCCTGTCTGTCCCTATTATGTCTTTATTTTATTATATTTGTTGTGATCATTAGTGGTGAAATTTCTTCTTCTTTCTACTTCAGCCTGACTTGAGGCTGGTTTTACACACTGCAAAGCTTCCTGTGTTTCTGATGTTTGGGGGGATGGAATTACACTTCCTAACTCACCCCGAGCAGATGCTCTAGTCCCACCGGCACTACCACTGCCGGGGTAGGCCAGGCAACTCTAAGAGGCGGGGGTGCAAGATTATGAATAATTTTAAACATTAGGCACAGGAACAGAATAACATGTTATCAAAATTAAGTTAATACAAGTACATTTTTGTATTTCTGATGTTTCTGGATTAATATTAGTGTTACATTAATGGTATGTTACATTGTACTGCTGTATATGTTTAAGGTTGAGCTCATGTTAACTACTTTATATACTGTTTGGTAGTTTAATTCTCAACAATGCTTTATATTCTATAAGATCTTCATATATTTATTTGTTAGTTAACATTTGTGAGTTAAAGCATTTATCTTATTTAATCTGTTTATCTTGAGCTACTTTAACAACACAAAACTTGTGAATGTAACCACATTTCACTTATTTTGCAGTTCCTTTGTAGGAGAACTTGAAAATCTAGTTAGAAAAGTTAACGGTGCCTTCGTACAGTTTCTGATGTGGAAATGTTTGGACGAAATGAAACTGACAGCAGATTAGAGCTTGAACAATCAGTCGATTAACTGATTGATAGAAAAATAATATCCAATCATGCTGATAATCTATTTTTAAAATAAGCAAAATGAGAAATATTCTCTTGCGTCAGCTTCTCGAAAGTGAAGAATTGCTGCTTTATATGTTTGTTTATAATATTCTAAACAATGAACATTGAAAGACATCAGTTTGGACTCCACATGTGCCAAAGAAATGGTCCGTTTCAACACCTCCGGCTACTCAGGTTCCATTAAAGCATCACATACTTCACTGTGTTCTCTAATGATTTTCTGTCTCTCCTTCTCCCTGCAGGGGAGGAAGGCCCCTGGGCGCTCGGGGAGTCGATCCAGCAACATCTCCAAGGTAACCACTGACTATCAGAGAGCTTAAAGGGCCAATATATGGTAGCATCCTTTATCCAAGCAGAATGTGCTAATGCTAGCGTGTTACTAACAGATCAATGCAAAGGTGCTTCAAGTACACACTGTTGTATGACTCATGAGACACACAATGATGCTTTTAGTTTCTGTATTGATTCATGATTAATTATAATTTCAAGTGAGTATAAATAATGGTGGAAAGGGTTGCTCATAATGATAAACCCACATCTGATCATCACTTGTAGCTCAACAGGTCGCCTTTTAGCATCTTTTACCAAATTGTTTTTGGGTTTACGACAGGAAATTAACTGTCAGTCTCACCAGTCTAAGATAAGATAAGATAAGAGAGATTTATTTGTCACATGCACAGTTATACATAGTACAATGCACAGTGAAATGCTTCTTTGTACTTGCAGCCAGTAGTAAACGAGAGAAAAACAAACATACTCCAGCCTACCCAGCTAACACAGCTAGTGACACCTACAGAACACCACGGTTAAAGCAATATATCTGTACAATAGGTAAACGAACCTAAGAACAAAATAAAAATAAACATATACTGTAAATATAACATCAAGCCCTGCTAGACACTACGTTAAAGCGCGGCGGGTAGCTCGTACTATATACCGCCGTACACACAGTCTACGTATTGAACGCAGCTATGTCGACGTACCACGTGACACGCGGCGCTCGCGTTCTTCTCTTCTGGTAGTTGTTTTGCTTGTTGTCTGGTGTGTCATTTTTTTTTACAGCTCGGCGGGTACCCGGCTCAGAGTTGAGGCAGCGGACTGTCCATGTGACATACGAAACCGTCTTCAGCCTCGGTCCAGTTTTGTCCTCCAGGCATGCGGAAACGCCGCCGCGCACCCGATGGCACGCTAGAGAGAAGAGAGCGTGTCCGGGGTGACTGGGCCCATTTATTTTTAACAGCAGTACAGAGACTAAATTAACAACTAGGTAAACGTAAAGAGCCAAACATCTGGCAACTTTTTGCTAATATGGTAGCAATAACAAGGCCGTAATATGTCAGGGCTGCATGTTTGTCAACTTATTTTAGGTTCTTTTTCCTCCTACTGGCCAAAATAAATGGGTTAATGCAGCTTTAAAATAACTGTATCAATAATATTAATCTTTATTTTGATTATGTGGTCATTAGGAAGTGTGTAACAATGTGTATCAATCGATCATTCATTGGCTGTAATGTAATTTCCCATTATCGGCCCATAATTATAATAATGACCAGAGTGTACTTCCACAGAAACATGGACGCCAGTTTGAGTCTGTTTGTTGTTTCAGGCCAGCAACTCAACAGCAGGACTTACTACAGCTTCAAGAACATCAATCACCCCGTCTTCTCAGGACATATGCAGGTAAGACAGCTGTCTCTTTAACTATCACCCAGAGTTACAGATGGCAGAAGACAAGGCGAGATGTTCCTTGAATATCTGAAAACATCTCAGTTAAAGCCTTCAGGCTTTCAGAGCAGCCACAGTTCTCTCAGTGATATTGACATTCACAGTTTAAAGCTTCTTCTCCACTGAGTGGGAGACTCGATTAGTATGGTCTGCCGCACCCCGAGGACATTAACAAAATTAAAATCCAATCGAGCTCCCATAGCGCAATCAATGAGAGGAAGATTTCTGATTGCAGAAATGGGATCCTTCAGCTCATTACATCCACCGGTGGTGTGGTCGTCACACTGACTCAGTCGAGGCTGAAAGAACACTGTTTGACGGCAATATGGACACGTGATGTACGGAGAGAGCTTGGACCTCTATTTGTCACACAACAAATCATTCACTATCTCCTATTCTGATTACCAGGTTTGATAATCAAAATAAATTGCCATTTTGTTTTCACTTCATTATTGAGTTTTACATTATTCTCCATTTTCTGTGCCTGAGTAGTTTTTCCCTAACCACTCAGTACGGAAGCTGGTGGGAGTTTCTAGTAACAGTTAACTTAATGAGTGTTTCACATTGATTGGAAAAATATGCTCATTTCAGTCTTGTTGTTCCTGTAAGTTGACTTTCCACAGTTGACAGTTGGTAGATTGTTACCTCAAAAGACGTCACACAGACCTGTTTGAATCACTGAAAACAATGATGTGAACGGTGATCCAGAAGTCTGGAATCCACCTTGATAATATCCTGAGCCCTCGAGGGTGGCAGCACAATGGGACGTTTAAAGAGCTGATTCACCAGAATTAAATAAAGTATATATTTCTTCACTTTGTATCTAGCAATGCAGAATAAGTTTTATTTCCCCAAGTTTGGAGATATTCCTTACTTTAATTACAATGGAGCTGAATTAAATTTAGTTTATGATGTTCAAAACACCGACATATGTCTAGAGACAATGTTTGAGGATAAATAAGAGATCATATTTAAGAAATAGTCCCTGTGAAATGTGTTAACAGTGAGGTCTATGGAGTAACAGTGATACAGATTCTGGAAAGCTGTTGCTGTTGACTGTTAATATATGTATTGATATATTTTGGGGGGGGTTTATAGCCTTTAATTCATAGTGACAGTTGAAGACGGAAAGGGGGGAGAGAGGGAAGGAAAGACACGCAGCAAAGTGCCACAGGTTGGATTTGACGCTGGCCCACTACAGCAAGGACTCAGCCTTGGTACACGGGATGTGAGCTATCCAGGCGCCCTCAGTATATCCATTATTCAATATATCCATCCATCCATCCATTATCATCCACTTATCCGGAGTCTGTTCGCTGTGGCAGCAGGTCAAACAGGCCAGATGAGATATTTAATCCACTGAGTTCTGGGTTTGAGTTTTTACAAACAGTGAGCACCGAAGATGAATCAAGGGCAGAGGACAATTGGGTGAACTGATCCTTTAAGAGTTTGCAATCAGGTTTCAGTTCATTTGTTTAATTATTGTCATCACATTCATGTTTTTTCCATCTTGTTTTACTTCATTTTTACACATTTCCATCTCTGTTTGTGTGTGTGTGTGTGTGTGTGTGTGTGTGTGTGTGTGTGTGTGTGCATGTTTATGTCTGTGTGAGTTCAGTTCTGGCCAGCTGACCCGTTTAGAAGAAGATGCTTCTGAATCGCACAAACACAACAAGCACACACACACCTCTGTGATGACAGTCACCAGCACAGCTCTGGGCTCGTCCGCCCAGGCCCAGAAGAAGCAGGTGAAGCGTCGTCACCGCCGCAAGAGGAGCAGCTGCACCACCCTCGACTGCGTGGAAAGCAACGCCAAACAGGAGCAGACCGACCGCAGCCTCAGCTCTGACCGCAGTGAGCACGGGGAGAAGAGGGAGCGGCCTTCAAAGAACTGGAGGGAGCTCCCTCCTCGCCTCCGCTGCTCAGGGCTACAGTCAGACACCACCTCTGAGGATGAAGCGTGGCGCGATGCCCGCAGCTGGAGCAAAGAGAAAGCCCGAAGAGTGCGCCGCAGCGGAAGCAGCCGAGAGAGAGATGGGCCGAACGCAGGTAAAGCAGGGAAAGACAAAGCAGAGATCATGGAGCTGCAGTCGCTGGGCTCAGATGAGGGGAAGGAGAACCAGACTCTGTTGGAGGTCAGCGGAGGCCTTAAGAAGCGGCACAGCAGCAGGGCCTCGATGAAGAGAGACGGCCACAATTCACAGAGGGAAGGATCGCAGAGCAGAGACAAGGAGAAGAGCTACAAGTCACGCAGCCCAGAAGGCAGCTCCTCAGTGGCGGAGGACGGCGAAGAGCTCATCACTAAGAGATACCAGGAAAAGGGGTCGGGGGGTGGGGACATGTCAGTGCCCACACCACAGAAACACTGCGGGGTAAATGGAGGCGCACCACCACCCTGCTCTGATGACTCTGAGCTGGAGGTCTGCAGGTCAGTGTGTGTTTGTGAGCCTTTATGAGTGTGGCTGTGTGCACTAATCATCTGTCAGTATCAGGTTTAAGTTTAACTCCACTTTTTTTTAAAAAGGGGGAAATTAAAACACATTATCCGTTCTGATGTGTGTGTGTTTATTTTCTGTGTGTGTAGAATCTGCCACTGTGAGGGGGATGACGAGTGCCCGTTGATAATGCCTTGTCGCTGCACAGGGAGCCTGAGTTTCGTCCACCAGGGCTGTCTCAACCAGTGGATCAAATCTTCAGACACTCGCTGCTGTGAACTCTGCAAGTTTGACTTTGTGATGGAGACGAAGCTCAAACCTTTACGCATGGTAGGCACACACTCGTAAATCTATGCATCTGCTGCTCCAGAGTCAGGCTGTAATAATGAACACCGTTTGTCTTTTTCCCCCCCTTTCAAACAATGTCTATCATCCCCCTTTCCATCCCCATCCCTCCGTCCTCCAGTGGGAGAGGCTACAGATGACGAAGAACGAGAGGAGGAAGATCTTCTGTTCAGTGTTGTTTCACCTGATAGCAATAGTGTGTATGTTGTGGTCAGTCTACATTCTGGTCAAGAGAACCATGGAAGAGATCAGACTTGGGAAGAACGGTGAGTATTTTCCCTCCCGCCTCCCTCTCTCACATACCAGAGACATGCAGACGAACATTTGAAGCTTTTTTTGATAATTTTTGGCTTTGATGAAACAGTTTTATGATCCAAATTAAAGGTACCTTGGGGAGTTTTAATTGTATAACACTAAATTGTGTTTTAGTCACATTTATTTTACAAACATTTGAAAACCTGACATTGTTTTGAAAAGGCAAGATTCAAAGGTTTGATGTTTCACATGTGTAGTGACATGAAGGTTGTCATACTAATAAAAAATAAGTGTAAAATACAAATTAGGAAAATAAATATTAATGATAAAAAAATTTTACGATATATAAATCTATGTAAATATTAAAATACTAAAACTTAGCTTTACATTTTTTCAAAGACACATTATATCCTTAAACTTTACTAATGTGTTACTGCCATCTGAAGTAATTTGTATCACATCCCGTCCACACATATACAACAAACACTACAGGACCATTCAAACGTTGCACTGTAGCGCCCCTGGTGGTCAAAGACTCCACAGGGTACCTTCAAACTTTTCACGCTAATATTTACTCTGGTGATGTGATTTTGAACTTTCCTTTGTAGTCACTAGTTTAACTAAATCTAGTTAACTAACTTAAGCTATGGGTGTGTGTATTGTACAGAATCAATCTCCCAGCTTTTAAACTTTCTGTGATTTTTATCCCCAGTTGTCTCTCTGCGTTAGAGGTTTTGCTCTAGAACAGGGGTCTCAGTATCAAATTATAAAATGTTTGTATTGTCGTCTCATAGGACAGCCACAAGTTCCATTAATAACTTCATGTTTTAATACATTTTATATCATCTTTATTGCTCACAGCCAAACAACAAATAAAGCCCTGAAACTCACTCTCTTCTTATCAACAACACATTTGTACCTTTGAAACAAAATACATAATAAATACAGCTGTGTTTTTATTTTAATTGTTATATGGGAAGGGGTAGTTTGAATTTACCTAGTTAAACAAATTGATACATTACAACGACTTCAAATTATTTAACTCAAAATGATGTTCAGGCTATAAGTGCAGTAGGTTTTGTAAATACTTAGCACGTTAGTGACTTTAAAAAGACACATTCACTTGATTTGTTGATGTATTGTTTACGATAAATAAACAAATAAAATAAAATCGAGTTTTTTAGACATAGAATAGATCATCCATGAACCCGTACCCAGGTTTTTATATCAGGGTATAAAGATATATTACAGTAAGTTATATTATCTTCACATGGCAATGCACTTGAGGACTGTGATATAAAAACGCTATTGAATTCACAGAAATCTAAAAATCGAGTTACTGTATTGTTCAAAGACAAAAACCATTAATGTCAAGTTTCAGATGTTAAAGTTCAATGTTCAGAATCTCATTACCACAAGATGAAACCATACATTTGACAGAAACAGAGAAACTAAAGGTTCACTGCGACTGATGCAGAAGATTTTCAGATCTTTGCGATTGTTTAAGTAAAAATTAGACCCTGCTGTAAATGTTTTATTGAATTTTAAACAAATGAACAGAATATGCACATGTTTGTTGGGTGTACAAAACTAATTATGTTTATGTATCACACACAAATGCTTCTTCTGTGTAATCTGTGATAGAGGAGCACATCATGCAGTCTTTTCCCCCACAAGCCACAATTCCATAATAAAAGAGTGTTTCATCCCTGGAGTAATACTTGCTGAAAGTCAGGATTTATATTTAAAAAAGAAAGAAAGGAAAATGAATAAAGTAAATAAAATAAGGAACTTATACAAACTGTCTTACCAACAACATCAACAGAAAGATAAAAGACACAAAGAGTGAGAGAGACTCCCTCAGTGCTTCTGTATGTTCACTGTGCTCGTTGATGATGTGGTGTGTGTTGTGCTGTGATCTTTGATAATCATAATACAGATCAGTGATCTGTGTTATCATTCTCACACTATAGGACCTCAGGTTAAAGGCAGAAAACATAGACGCTGTATGTTAAAAATCTATATTGTATATCATAAAACAATAGAGCATAGACCAGAGATCATAGAAATAAAGAGGAATTACACTCACTCTTGATTGCAGAGGATTTATGGAGAGTTTCTCTTCTGAAGTACTATTCGCCACAGGGTAAGCACAGCAATGCACATGCCGCCATGATGATCAGTCACACATCTGGCAGGTTGACTTACAGCCACTTTGTGTGTTTGTGTGTGTATGTGTGTGTGTGTGTCAACAGGTGTGCTGGAGTGGCCCTTCTGGACCAAGCTGATTGTGGTGGCCATCGGCTTCACAGGCGGCCTCATCTTCATGTACATCCAGTGTAAAGTCTACCTGCAGCTGTGGCGCCGCCTCAAGGCCTTCAACCGCATCATCACCGTGCAGAACTGCCCCGAGAAAGGCCTGCACAACTGCCAGGCCCGGCCAAGCGCACTGGCCAACGGTACCCACGAAACTGTGGAGGTTCCGGTCAGCCCGGCCCCCGTCGCGGCTCCAGAGCCACAGATGGATTCAGACATGTCAGTGGAGGACGCGGTGGCGCCGGCCCAAAACCCCGTCTGACTGATTCTCCTCCCACTCCAGAGTCCTGACTCACACCCTGCTCATCCGACAACACGAGTTGGTGTGAGAGCGGTGTGATTTAGAGCCGTACAGTGTTGTAGTGTTCAGCTCCTGTGATTGCTGAATCTTGAGACGCACACAAAGGATGGATTTTAAAGTCCTTCAGTGATCAAGGAAAACTGAAAGGCTGAAGGGCTGCAAGTGAATGTGCAAAGGAAGAATGTGACAATGGAGAAAAGAGGAAGTGAGAAGATGTGAAGGGACAGGAAAACAAAGCCATCAGCAGGAGAAGTTTGTAAAGACTGTAGTTATGTGATATATTGAGTTTTATTCCTGTATGCACTTTCTCAAACTGCACTGACACGAGTTAAAGGTGTGAAAACCCTGTGGATGCTATTACAGGTCTCAGTATGCTTCAAACAACCTTCAGACGAGGTTCAAAAGCATTCATAGATATAAATGTGGTGTCACAGAGACGATAAATGAAAATAATGTTGCACGCTTTTGTAAAGTCCCTCCTCACAGGCGTTTATGGCGTTCAGTTGTACACACAGGACGAGATAAAGTTAGTAGTAATGTGAAGGATGGATAAAAGAGCTTGGGGAAAGAAGTTACCTGAAGTGGTTAAAGGCTCATGTGAAAGTGGGTTTCAGATGCTATTACCACCAAATTCCACCGGGCACGGGCATGACATGTTGTAGCTGCGCCGTGGTGGAGCTGATCACACCCGTTGTAGACAATCCTCGTGATTCCACCAGAAGCGTCTCTCCGCAGAGAATACAGTGTCGGTCTGTTTTTGACAGCTCAAGCAGCACCGAGCAGATCACAGACACAGAAACATCATAGGGAATCTGGTAAGTTTTCAAAATAAAATACCCTGTGCAGAATGTGGATTTAATTTCAAGCTACAGCGACATTGTGGCACCAGAAGTCAATCAGTCAGAGAAGATTTAACAATGAGAAGTTCATCCTGGAAATGGAAAAACACACCGATTTGTATCATTTTTAAAGGACAAAATACAACAACAGCGGAGAGACGAGACGCTCTGCTTCTGACACGCGTGGATCAAGGACCCGAACCACGTCACAGACGCGACGCCATAAAGCCGCGTCCGGTGGAATTTCAGAGTTTAGACAATCCAACAAGCACTTTGTTTGAAGCATACCAAGGCCTTAACTCTCCTTCTGGACAATCAGGTCTTCAGACACCAAAGAGTCAGATATCATCAGTAGAGAAATTATTTGAACAATATCTTTAGCTCAGTCTGAATTTATTTACTATCATAGGAAAGTTCTAAATATTTCTTAAAAATATAGTAAATCTCATGTATCCCAGTTGTTTATTCTGACAGTTTGCAGCTTTATGTGGTCCCGCTCCGCGAGGTCCCCGTTATTTATACATTGATGTAACTAAAGCTTTCATGGTCGTCATCCGTTAGACTTTACACACAGTGCGAGTGACCAGCCAACAAGGTGACTGTTGTTTACACTTGTCAACTTTTCTACAGGTTTTAATTTGGTTCTTTACCAGCGTCACTGTCACATCACAGGAAACGTTTATTTTCTCAGTCTTATATCCACCAACAATATGAGAACAACCAACATCAATGTCAGAAACTCTCGGCTGGTTAAAGTTGAATATTCAGGTTACACGATGGATGTTTGTTTGTGCAATAAACAATGAAAGTAGAACCCCTCAAAGGTTTGTGTGACGTTACTGAGCAACAAGAAGACTTTGAAAAAGGACGACAGGCTGATAAAACTTTAGTTTTCCATCTCTGAGAGTTTGGCACCATCTTGTGGACAGTCAGGGAGTGGCAGCATTTTTACAAACAAACTTTTCAGTCCTGAATGGACGACCGGAGCGTTGATATAAAACCAGCCTCAGTTTAAATCCGACATCAGCGCTGTGTCATCCAGCTGCTCGTCATTAAAGTCATCTTCATCATCATCCTCAATATCATCCTCTGCGTCGTGTTTCTCCTCTTCTTCATTCTTTGTGTCCAAACCTTTGTTAGACACCTTTCGCAGTTTAATATTTGGAAGTTTCTTAAGATCTCCGGTCCACTCTCTGTCGAAATAAAGATCAATAAATGTCATCAAACATCAGAAAGGAAAGTTTGTGAATCTTCTCAAATCCTTCGCTTAGAATCACAATATTCAGAATCAGAAATACTTTGTTGATCCCCGGGGGGAATCTGTTTGCTACAGTTAATCCACTCACACAACATTAAAGAATAGTACTTATATACGATATCTAACACAATATAGAGAATATAAATGAATGTATAGGTATATACATATAGTAAAAAGTTAAAAATAAAAGTGGAAATAGAAATGTAATAAGAGATATAATAAAATATATTAGCCTATATACAAAGTTAATGTAAATATATTCCACAGTATTTCTGACAGAAATAATATATTATTCAAAATTTAAATATTATTCAAACTGATTTTTAGCCATTTTTTTATTCATGTGGCAAAAATACAATAATTCGAAGCACAGAGTGAAAGATGAATCTTAATTTGCATGATGAAGCTGAATAATTACAGCCAATAATAATTATTACAGCCATAAACACATAACATTGTAGAACGGCTGTAGTTCGTATCGTCTCACCTGAATGTTTTCAGATGTTTTCCATTGATGATGTCTGGGATCTCTGTGAAGAGGACAAAACAAAAGGTCACAGAGGATTCTCCAAACCGACTGTGTCCTCGTGTGTGTAGCAAACATGTGACTGGTTTATCGAGCGAAGACTCACCGAATCCGCCGCCCTCATACTGCGCTCGCTCCCGCTCGATGGTCTGTTTGATGACAGCCTCTCTGGCGCCATGGAGACGACCCTGTCGACCTTTGATCCCGTTCATCAGCTCAATCTGCTCGAGTTCACAATCAAACCTTTGGAGGTACCTGCACACACAAACGAGAACACACATACAAGAACACTAAACACTGAGATGCCACAAAATAAATGCTAAATACTATTATATAATAATAATATTTTGATGCATTTCGAACTCAAAATGACAAAAAACAAACCTTTCAATAATGTCACAGGCGTCTTTTCTGGTGTAAGCCGTCTTTTCTGGATCCAACTGTTCCTGAAACCACAACAGCTTCTCACCTGTGAGAGGCAGACAAATAAAAGAGACAGAGACGGCGTTTAATGGATTTCATCCTCACAGTCAGCGAGTTTTGTACGATACGAACGATAAACGAGCTCACCGATGCTGCTCAGACGTGTTGCTTTGTCATTCTTCTGCCTGCAGCGTCAGAGAGAAAACAATGAAAGTAATCAGAGTACACACTGTAATCTTAATCAATGTTTGATATTTCAGCCTCAGTCAGTGGTATTCATTCATTCATTCATTCATTTGATTAAAGTTATTTGTCCCCTTTGTATTGCAAAGGTCAAATCTAATTAATCTGACAGAGTTATGACAGAAATCTTGCTCACAGAAAAGGTTAAAGGGTCTTTTTTGAAAAGTTAAAAAGTTTGTTTTAGTCTTTATTCGGGTCTCAGACTCACAGGATGTAGATGGAAACATGAGAGGATTTCACAATAAGGCTCAAATGAAAGCATTAACTTTACATTAATGTTTTTGTTTTCTTTATAAGGGGGAACCTGTAACAAATGTCACATAAACAAAGTCACAACAGTAAAACTGATGCCTTTGGAAAATAATAATAATAATAATAATAACCTTCTATCTATTAGGTCACTGACATGTTGTGCTATAAACAGTGATGGAAGTAAAAGTACTAAAGTGTAAAAATACTCCATTACAAGAAAAATACCTGCATTATAATCAAAGTTTAAGTAAAAGTACACAATTATTATTAGTTATATGTATTTAAAATTGGTGATTACAAGTAAAAGTACTTATGACTGATATAATAAATCACAATGTGTATGCTGAATCTTTTTAATAATATGTTATAATAATAATAATAATAATTATTAGCCGGTACAGGTGGAACTAGTTTTAACTACTTTATATACAGTTGAGTAGTTTAATCCAGTGGTAGCCAACCTGGGGGTCGGACCCTCCAAAGGGTCACAAGATCATCTGAGGGGTCATCAATAAAAACTAAACACACTTTTACTATAGAAATGTGGATTAATTCTTTATTTTCTTTCTCTGATCTTTGTGAAATTTTGAGGATAAGACAATAATTTAAGTTAAATGTATTTGAACTCATAAACAGACAACTGGTTTAATCTTTAACAATGTTTTTTATATTATGATTAAAAGGTAGAATATTTCCCTCTGAAGTAGCAAAAATGTAAGTACACAAGGAACAAGTGCACACTGTAGTTAAGTAATAAATGAATAATGAATAAATAACCTGAGTAAACCTACAGTAAATATAATTGATGTGCTGCAGTGGTTTGTTGTTGTTGTTGTTTATCAGACACTTTATCGCCACATATTCACATTTATAAGCAGATTTCCCTCCAGGAGTGAGCTGTACTGATCGGAGCTGATGTTCTGCATTATGTTTTGTTGAATTACCTTTCTTTCTTCTTCAGTCTGATCTCTTCTCGGGCGAGATAAGCAGCTTTCCTGCTGAACGGATGAACAACTTTCTCCGCCGCTTTTCCTTTCTGAACCTTCGGCTGAAAAACATAAACATCGAATCAGACAAACAACAAAACAACAAAACAACGTATCGATCAAACAACAGGTGATTGAAACCACACTGATCGGTATTATTGATCTGACAGGCCTGTGTTACCATTTTAACTCGAAACACGCGTGGTCTTGTTGACAACTACACCGGAAGTGGTCCCTCACTAAACTTTGTCCGGATGTGATGCGGAGAAAAATAAAATCGGTTCCACATTGTCAAGGCGTCACAAAATGCACGACAGTTAAGTGATTAAAGTTTAAATATAAATATGAATAAAATATCATATAACAAAATAATGCTGCCAGTTACTGGTGTTTGCAACTGTGGTGCGTTCAAAGAGTTGTTAAGATCCCTCCACACATATTAATACATAACATTTAATAAATATTCTGCTTGGAGAAATATGACTGGGAAAAAAATATATAATTTCCACATTAAAGTCATTAAGAAGATCAAAGAAGTGCCAGGTTTTCCTGGACAAAGATGTCTTCCTACTTCACCTGTAAAGTCCATTCTCAGTGTTTGTGGCACTGGCTGGCTTTTTTTCAAGTATTCTACATCACACTTTATATAGCTGCCCACACTGGAACCCAGTTTGATCTTGGTGATGTCCACAAATCATGCTCATAGGCCCCGCTCTTAAAAATCAGATTTTCAGTGAGCCGCAGAGAGAAACTTTCCACTTTTTCAGCAGATGAATGTTAAAACATCTTTCTAGTGTCAAACTCTGCACAGACATCAGGGTCAGAGGAAAGAAGAAACCCCAGGAAGTGTATCAAAGTTAGAATTTCAATATTACGCTGTATTTTGAAATTCATGCTGTGTGTGCTTATTTGGATGCCTTAATAATGGTTTTATTTATTCAAATAAAATGCTTTATTTAAGTTTAATAAAACAGTAATTTGATGGATGGACATTTCAAGATCTACAGCTGTGTTTGTATGTTGTATTATTTATAATAACCAAATACACAAACTTTATTTATGCATCACATCTCACAAACTGGGTGTGATTTATGAATAAACATTAAATGAATAAAACAGAACACAAATTCTGAAAAGATGATCATCTCTGCACATGTGTACTGAGGCGAAAGTACTGATCAGTTCAGACAGTTGAGACCAGTTGAGACCAGTCGGATTCCTCCAGCACCTCAGGCTTTTCTTAGTTCATATGTTAAAAACATCAGATATGTGGGCGAGGAACGAGTCCTGGTTTGCTTTAAACACCTAAATCATTTTAAACTCAGGAACAACTAATGAGTTGGTTTTTTTTTTTTACTTGAATTAAACTTTGTCGACTTCTGTAGCTAAAATAACAATTTCAGGACGAATTATGTGGCCAAAAGTAAGTGGACACACATACCATCCACATACTGTGACCTGGGGCTGTTCACCATAGTTTGGTCTAGACCCCTTAGATGATATTTTAGATAACAGAGGGCCTCCAACTTTGGGCAAAAGTTTGACATGACAATGCTCTCCAGAACAAAGCACATAAAGAAACCTTCCTGTCTTGGTGTGGAAGAACTCGATCGGCCTGTAGAGATCCTCGATCTCAGCCTCGTCCAACTCCTCGGGGATGCTCTGGTGGCTGAATCGCTGAAGCCAGGTTCCTAAATCTTGGGGGGAGCCTTCTCAGAAGGGTGGAGGTTGTTTTGGTAGCAGATTAACAACTCATCAACATCGGTTGGGTGTTAAGGTGTTAATGCTGTCTATGGGCGTCTTCATTTTTCTTTGGGTAACAGGAAATTTCATGTGGGTCTGCAATGATTTCATAATTTCTTCAGAAGCAGAAAAGACACGTCTAAAGAGGAAGAATCTGAAACCTAATATTTTTTACTTTAGCAAAGAAATAAACTCCTCTCATCTTTCTGGGGAACGATGACGTCCAGTGGTGGAAGAAAAACTTTATTTATGAGTAAAAGTATCAGTATGAAAAACAGTTCTGCATACACAAAAGGAAAAATTACTTAATTTACTAAAGTATCAAAATTAAAAGTATTTGTGCTGCAGAAAAAATCCAACTCAGATGATAAAATATTATATATGAAATTATTATACTGTAAATTCTGATGCATCATTGTGTAAGGAGGCATTTCAGTGTTGTATCTGCTCGAGCTGGAGTTGGTTTCAATGACTTCATACACAGTTAATTTAGTCCAGTGGTTCCTGATGAGGGCGGATCTGGAGAAATCTTCACAACAAAATTATGTTACACAAATGTGTATTTTTCTCTACTGTTTTTTATGGATTTTATGGAAATATTGGATAATTTTACCACTTTGAACGTAAACAATCATTTAATGACTCATAGACATCTGAAAACCCCAACTAGAAACATTTTAAAACTATTAATAGCTGTGAAATAAATGTAGTTGAATTATAAATTAGTTTAATAGTTGTCTCAGAACAGTAGTGGAGTAGTTGTATAGTAAAACTAAAAATGCATAAAATGGAAATTACATACAAATCCCTCAAAACAGGACTTAAATACAGCACTTGAGCAAATGTACTGAACTAATTTACCACTACTGATGAAAAGTGAGTTAACAGACTGACTCAGATCTTATGA